TCAAGATATTTTGCCCAATAATATTTCTATTATGAAGATAGTTTATTAATTATGAGAACCGACATCTTCTGTGTGTGAGCCTCAATACATTAAATTGTCTACTACATAACTAAATGACACGCATGTAACAAATAATCTATTTCAAATAGTACTTTATTGAATTGAATAAATTAAATAAATAATTATTCTATAAAAAATAAAAACACTCTAAACCGCATGGCTAATAGTATATCCCAACAATATCCTAAGCCAATGGCACAGTTGTGCTTTGCTTCACAAAGCCACTAAGAGTGTACTTTTTAGGTCTTAGTTTCTGTTATGGCAGAAAACCACAAAGGAAGGGAAGAAGCAAATTAAATGATATCATAATGTGCCATCATTGCTAAGAGGAGAAACCAAACTAGAAAGCTGCTCTTTTTTCCACTTTTTGTCAACAAATTTCACAATTTGTTCCCCTTTTTATAGTTCTGTTGTTTACAAGTTAAGCTAAAGAAAGGATATCAGACTATGAACAAGGCTAGATACAAGAGTGCTGCCTACCTTGCTCTATACAAAAGGTTACATGAAAACTAAAACTCGAGACTTTCTTAACTACTGGCTGCAAACTAAGAACCGACTTTCTGAATGCAAACCAAGAGCTTTTGCTAAGCTAATCACATTCAGCGAGGCTGCTGGATGCTGCGGAAGCTGTTCCTTGAGCTCACAATCTTGGCTGGCTTCTCATAGTACATTGGAGGCGCAACGGGGGATCTTGGTGAACGCATAGTTCTTATCAGTGCATCAGAAACATTGGGTAAACCTGTTGTCAAGGGGGTAAATTTTTATGAAGGAACAATCATATGAGAATAATAGTAACAACACCATTGACTAAACTGGAAGTTATGACAAGTAATTGAAAGAATGAGAGAGACAGTGCATACCATATTGCGGAATTCCATTGACACCATAGAGAGGTGACTTAATTCCTTGTTGCCCACTTCGGGATGATTGGAGAAATTCCTCAAACTGAGCTTCCATGTTCAAGATATCCTCATCCACATTAAGATCAATATTCTCCGGAAGCAAATCAGCAATATCGTTACCAGCTCCATATTGATCATTACCATATTCCTCTCCCTGGTTCTGGCTCATCCAATAGTCATGGAACCATGTTGAAGTTGTCACCAAATTCCACCATTCTGGTGAAAAGTCCTCCACTTGGCGCACAAACGAAGGAACAAAGAGGGGCGCATTTGGATTCAACGATGATCTTCCTCCAGAAACTAATGCCATAATGCTTTTTTTCCAAAATTGCTACCTGAAGTACAAACAAAGTAAACAAATTAGGGTACGACTCCGAATACAAACATTCAAATCATCAACAGAACGGAAATAGAATTTCTTCCTGACCTAATAACATCTAACCTCAACAATCAGGTTCTAATACATAAATCAAGCTCATGAGCAAATTTATCAAATTTAACAAGATACAAACAGAAAACTGATGTCCTTGAGCAACATAGGATTCCCAAACGGATAAATTTCAAAGAAAATTTATTAACATCCAGTATAATCTCTAAGCAACAATACTATTTACCACAGGTTACTACACAGCCAAAGCAATAGTAGTCACAGACATGGGTTGATGCAAGGTTTTGTTAGCCTGAACCCTAATCGCAATCATTTTTTGAGGGAAAATACATTTTTGCACAAGGTTTGCACCCAATGCCACAGAGGAGTAACTAACACAAAATTGGTTATAGACCATAACTTAATTGAAGTCACCTGGACAATAAGTAGCAACTAATACATCACAAAATTGCTGATACAATCCTATATACGATCATTTTATCTTCTTCAACATATTACAAAGAAAACATCTACAATCCTTTTAGATCTACTCAAACAATAATTTTGGCCTTTTATAATAAATTCCCTAAAAGTCCTTGTTTTTGGGAAGAATATCCCTTCACATCATTTAGGCATCAAATAGGGACGACGTTTACCAAAATGAACACGCTATTGACTCAAATTGACTAAATAAAATGCATCTAAAACAACTAAATAAGCAGGCACATATCACAATTGTTCGTAAATATCAGATATATTCATCTACCAGCATATATAATTATTCAAAGCAAAAGCAAAAAACATATTACATCAATCCAATAAATCATTTTATAGAAAAAGTACCAAAATTTTCAGATTGAACAGATCGACAGATCAAAAGCCAGAAAAGTCGAAAATTGAACGCTAGAAATTACATTACAAGATTCAATGGCGATTTTACAGTACCTTCAAATATATGTGTTCGTTGAGCTACAGAAAGGATTTCGTACACGTAAGAATTCTTATCTTCAGCGGAAGACCTGAGGTCTTTATAGGCAGATTTATAGGCAGAAGTACCAAGCCTAGCAGGTTTGGAACCAAACGTAAGGTTTGGATAAGACCGAGGCAGCCCACTGATTGACCTTCGAGAAGACTGATAATATACCAATTAAAATATTCCAGATATTCTTTTAGTAACCAACCGGGCACCTCCGGTCAATTATTCCCATAAACCGGTCAATGCACAATAAACCGAGTCGACTATTAAATTTTTTATATTTACGACGTCAACATACCCAATATTATTCTACACCGTGAAGTCTGGGGAGGGTAGTGTGTACGTAAACGTTACCCCTGTCTTGTGAGGATAGAGAGATTGTTTCCAATAGACCTTCGGCTCAAGAAAGTATAAGCACCACATTAATGAAAATAAAAACAAGAAGGGACAGTACCAAAAAGTCATATAAAAGCAGAATAAAAACAACAAGATAGTAAGGTGATCAACAATGAAAGAAGACAACAGATAGTCATAAAAATCTACTACCAATAGAAAACGAGATTGCGTGCTAATACTACTGTTATGAACACTCTACACTACCTACTCTACTACCATAATCCTCGACCTCCATACCTTTCTATCTAGGGTCATGTCATCGGTCAGCTGAAGCAGCGCCATATCTTGCCTAATCACCTCTCCCCACCTCTTATTTGGCCTACCTCTACCTCTCCGTAAGCCCTCAAATGTTAACCTCTCACACCTCCTCACCGGGGCGTCTGTGCTCATCCTCCTCACATAACCAAACCACCTAAGCCGCGCTTCCCGCACCTTGTCTTCAATAGGGGCCACACCCACCTTGTCGCGAATAACCTCATTTCTGATCCTGTCTAATCTGGTATGCCCGCACATCCGTCTCAACATCATTATCTCTGCTATCTTCATCTTCTGGACATGAGCGATCTTGACTGGCTAACACTCAGCCCCATACAATATCGTAGGTCTGACCATCACTCTGTAGAAGTTACCCTTAAGTTTCGGTGGCACCTTCTTATCACACAAAACACCGGACGCGAGTCTCTATTTCATCTATCCCACCCCAATACAATGTGTGACATCTTCATCAATCTCCTCATGCCCCTGAATAATAGACCCAAGGTACTTTAAACTTCCTCTCCTAGGGATGACCTGTGAGTCTAGCCTCACCTCACTTTCCCCTCCTTGAGTCTCGCCACTGAACATACACTCCAAGTATTCTGTCTTGGTCCTGCTCAACTTGAAACCTTTAGGTTCCATGGTCTGCCTCCATACCTCTAATTGCGCATTCACATCATCTCGCGTCTCGTCAATCAATAAAATATTATCTACAAATAGCATGCACCGCGGAACTTCCCCTTAGATGTGGTGCGTCAGTACGTCCATCACCAGAGCAAATAATAAAGGGTTGAGTACCGACCTCTGATATAACCCCATCATAATTGGAAAATGATCTGAGTCACTACCCATAGTCCTCACTCAAGTCTTTACTCCATCATACATGTCCTTAATCAACCTAACGTAGGCAACATGTACACCTCTGGCCTCCAAACATCTCCACAAAACCTCCCTCGAAAATTTATCATATGTTTTTTCTTAGTCGATGAACACCATATGCAAGTCCTTCTTTCTCTCCCTATACTGCTCCATCAATCTCCTAACAAGGTGGATGGTTTATGTAGTCGAACGCCCCGGCATACCCAAATTGGTCTCGGCGATAGACACACTCCTCTTCACCCTCAGCTCTACCACTCTCTCCCAAACTTTCATAGTATGGCTAAGCAGCTTGATACCCTGATAGTTATTGCAATTTTGGATATCACCCTTGTTCATGTATACATGAACCATCGTGCTCCACCTCCACTCTTCGGGCATCTTCTTCTTTCTAAAAATGACATTAAATAACCTAATGAGCCACTCCAAGCCTCCTGCCTTGCACGCACTCTTCCAAAACTCCACCGGAATTTCATCAGGCCCGGTCGCTTTGCTCCTGCTCATCTTATGCATAGCCCCCATCAACTTCATCAACTCTAATCCGCTTATAATACCCAAAGTCACAACAACTCCCAGAGAGTTCCAAATCACCGAGTACAATGCTCATGTACCCCTCCTCGTTCAAGAGACTATGGAAGTAGGTCTACCATCTCCGACGAATAAGTCCCTCATCCAACAAAACTCTACCTTCTTCGTCCTTGATGCATTTTACTTGGTTCAAGTCACGCGCCTTTCTTTCTCGTGCCTTGGCTAACCTGAAAAATATTTTATCCCCACCTTGGCCCTCGAGTTCCTCATACAAATGACTAAAAGCTGCAGTCTTGTCCGTCGTAACTGCTAGTTTTGCCTCTTTCTTAGCCAACTTATAATTCTCCCTATTCGCCATCTTCTCTTCCTCATCTACACTTTCCACTAGCTTCAGATACGTTGCTTTCTTGGTTTTTACGTTTCCTTGCACCTCTCTATTCCACTACCAGTCTCCCTTGTGACCACCAGAATAACTCTTTGAGACCTCTAATACCTCTCTCGCTGCTTTCCTAATGCACTGTGCTATCGTAGTCCACATAGAGCTTGCATCCCCACTACTCCTCCAAGCCCCCATAGTCAACAGCTTGACCCTGAACTCCTACACTTTAGATTCTGTCAAGGCTCCTCACTTGATCCTATGTTAGTTATACGTCGCGCTCTTCCTCGTAATCTCAAGGTCCATGACCAGGAGCTTATGAAGGGCCAAGAGGTACTCAGTGGGGATGACCTTACAATCCGTGCAAAGACCTTTATCGAACTTCCTGCAGAGTAAATAATCAATTTGAGTCTCGGCCACCGAACTCCGGAAGGTGACCAAGTGCTCTCTCTTCTTTGGGAAACTCGAGTTTGCTATCACCAAATCAAATGCTCTAGCAAAGTCCAACAGAGACGTTCCTCCTCCGTTTCTATCTCTAAAACCAAAGCCACCATGCACATCATCATACCCCCTAGACGTCGCTCCAATGTGGCCGTTGAAATCTCCTCCTATGAAAAGCTTGTCGGTATGCGGGATACCACGCACCATCTAATCCAAATCCTCCCAAAAACTCCTCTTGACTTCCTCATCCAAGTCTGCTTGGGTGCGTACGCACTGATTATGTTCAAAGTAAAACCTCCAGCAACTAGTTTAATAGATATCAACTTGTCATTCACCCTCCTAACCTCCACCACTAGTTCACGGAGGTCTTTATCAACCAAGATATCTATCTCGTTCCTGCCCCTACCCTCATAGAATACCATAGTTTGAACTTGTCCATATGCCGCGCCTTATCTCCTACCCAAATAATTTTTAGGCTGATATTAATTAAACAGTGTAACAACGAAATATCTATCTAAGAAAGCTAAAATCTCAAATTATAAAAATATTTAGGAACTCTTTCCTTATACATAAAAGATTAATTCATCGAAATAAAATCGAGAAAAATTGTGAAGAAAATGATACTAATTTATTCAATTTACGAAAATATCATTCATTAAACTTCACAATGAGAATAATGGACAGTTTAGAAGGAAGAATAAGCCCAATATAATCTTAGACTCTTGAAATTGTGCACATCTCAACATTTTCTTGTTACATATTTTAAATTTCTTTTACTAGAAGAGTCATATTTTTATATATCGTGACAAATTTTGTGTATAACTAGTGGTATAGTAATGATAAATTGTTTGACGTTATTTGTTTACTAATCTCAAATCAAGACTATCAAATAAACTGAAAAGATTTGGTATTTATCTCAAAATATATCAAGAAACTGATGAAAATGCTTAATTCAGCATAATTGATAGGGGTTTATCTAAATAAAAATTTATTAGACTGTAACAGAAGAAGACAAAGAAGATTAACATAAGATCTCCAACATGACAAGGGAACAAATAAAAATAAAGATTAAAGAGCAAGAAAACCTCATGTCAATTTATTTAAGGTAAGGATTCTCGTCTTAAGCATTTGTTGCATGTCCTTATTGGTAATGTAGTAGTACATTATAAATATTCTTAAGCACGCCTTATTTTATCAGAATATTACTCCAATAAAATAATCAAATAACTTATTTTAAAAAAACTTATTCAGTTAAAAACATCCTGATTTAAATTGTAATATCTTGAGTTTGAATAATTAAACCTCTATCCCAAATTAGAGGGTGTTTGGATTGGCAAGCTAGTCAAATTAGTTTTTAAGCTCTTTTTAGATTTTTTTTTCAGTATTTGTCAAAGTTAAAAGTATTTAAAATAAGTTTAAAACTGTTTTAAATGAGTCAAAAGCAATAAGTTGAGCAACCCCAATTTATTGGTTTTTGACTTAAAAGTTATTTCTGCTGAAAAGCCACTTTATTTAATCCAATCCAAACAGGCTCTTAGTTCAGATCAGTGAATTTTTTATTGGGATTTTTACACAAATAGCCGGTCATATTAATTGTTTACTTTTTCTAGCCATATACACAGATTATATATTGATTATATACAATTATACTCATGTAATACATAAATTATGCATATATTATACATTCACCGGCTATTTTTAGTTTATCTGGGCGAAACAATCAAATTTATTGGGAACAACTCGGAACATGAGAATAAGGAACTTGAGTCAACCATACTTAAAACTTACGGGAATATCATAGAATTTATTTCTAAACGAGTAGTTTAGCCAACATATCTCAAATTCGTCCCTTAATGATACTACAACGATCACTAACTAAACAACGTATCACGCTCCAATTAGACCTGTCACGTTACAATTTGGAATACCATACCGCATTTCATGACAAGCACCGGTTCACAATTGGACCCGGTTTTTTCATATGCCGGTGACGGTGTATATACCGGCTAGAGGCAGCAGACAAAAAAGCAGCCGGTAAAGTGATAAAAAAGCGTGTACAGGTGTTCATAATTGACTTGATAATGAACCGCTTGTGGGGACCATTTTCTTGGACATGTTAATGTGATTGAGCTTTTTCATAATTGTGTAGCCATATTGTTTTATGATCAACGGCTGATAGATGAGATTGTTTTGATCAAACGCTGGAAAGTGGTTGGAGTAGTTATGATGATGTATTCAAATGAATGGTTCAATGGGACCCACTGCTCAACTCAATCCCTTATAATTCGCGTCGTGCACATGGCTGAGTAGGTCGGCATAAAATACCAGCCAAATCCATTCACAGGAATTCCAAAAGGAATGACTAGTTTGTTGGTTCCATTTATAATTATAATTATAATATAGGTTGTTCCATTATTGAAAATTATAAAGAAAAGCATGAGGCCGTACATGCTATCTTTTTATCTTTTAAAAAATAGCACAATTAAGGGCCCGTGTGGACATAAAATTTGGTTGAAGATTTTTCCAAAAAGATTTTGCTTTTTTTCGAAATCAACGTTTGTTCATAAAGTTTCTAATTTTCACTTGAAAATATATTTTGAAAATTTTCGAAAATTTGAAAAACTGTAAAAAATTATTTTTCAAAATTTTTTCACTCAAATCACTCACAAAACTTAAAAAGCAACTCAAACCAAAATTTATATCCAAACACAATTTTAAATTTCAAATATCATTTTCACGTGAAAATTGTTTTCATCATTTTTTCGAATTTTACAATTCTTATGTCCAAACGCCTACAAAGAAATTGTTGTATTGAAAAAAGATCAAGAAACTAAAGGCTTAGTATGATCACATGTTAGGAATCTTGAGCAAGAATAGTGCCTTAAATGTAGTGATGGCACAAGATTCCATTTATCCTTAATTAAATGTCTTATCTTAGGAAAGCAACAAAAAAAATTATCTTAGGAAACACTTCTTCTTTAGTGGTTATGCAACTCAAAATAATTTAAATTAATCGTGGTTCAAAACGAGTACGGAATATCGGACCAGAAATAAAAAGTATATTGTCTTGATAGTACATATTGTCAAGATCATACATTCATAATACTACTTATTCAAATCCTATTATTCTATCAACACAACCGATGTGTTATTCCGATCAGAAACATGGACAGTTTTTTTTTTTTTTTTTTTTGGAAAAAGCAATGAGCAAAAGATCTCATTTTAGCTTCAACGATGACAGCACAAAAAAAAAATTAAAATAAAATAAAGAAGGAACATTTGCTTCTCATTTATATGATCTGTGCGAGTTTATCCAAAACAGATAATATCACTATATACGGGTAAAATCGAGCTCGAGGCTTGACCAAGCTACTGGAACGACGATTGAATGAGAATCGAAGTCACGAGTGAAACCGATCCCGATATCGAAGTTCAGAGATCCGACATGATCAGCTAAGATCGGAATCAAAAGTGCTATCGAAGCCGGTCATCAAGACCATCAAACCTGCCTTCGAGTTTGTCGAAGGCGAAACAAGTCCCGTTCTTAATGGCCTCGGAGAAAGCTCCGCCAGCTCGGCCGACAAGGGTCCATAACTTTTGCCACTAGCTGATTATTATAGCATAAATCACGGTATTAGTGGAGAAGGTGGCCAACGGTCAGAAAGGCCCATGCTTTTCTATAGAATAATGCCAAAAATGGGAGATTTCCCCCTATAAATAGAAGAGACTAAGTTATTGATAGGGAGGACAATACACTCATAAGCAATATATTGTTAGCTTTCATTCATTTCTCTTTGTCTCTCCAAATTTCATTATTATTGGCTAAAGAGAAATCAATCTCATAAGGCTCAAGGTTTGCTCAATTTGCGAAGGTTGTATCTATCTTTTTATTGCTCATTTTTACGTTAATCTAATTTTTTCACCTTTGTATCAAATCATAATACGTATCTTTAGAACTACGTATAAATTTAACTCTATTCGTTTTTTGGTAAACAGTTTGGCGCCCACCGTGGGGCTAAGGATAATAGTGGTTATTTGGTACGAATCTCTATGAAACACACTATTTTACACTTACTCTTGGAAATGTCTTTGATTTCAGGCTGAAAAATGACGAATTCTCAATTAATGGCCCTACCTATCGACAACGAAACTGGCCTTCAAGATAAAAATAATAACTTAACGCCCGGGGGCGAAAGACCACTTGTCAATCTCGTTGGAGCTCGGGTCGAAGAGCCAATAGACGTTAATTCACATATGACCATTGAGGCAAACCAACGTTCCGACCCTGAAAATAACATTCAAGGTGGAACTCGATCTGCAGCTCAAAATACCCAAAATGCTGAGGAAAACAGAATAAGCTTGCGTATGATTTTCGAAATGTTGCAAGCTCAACAAGCAGCAATAGCCCAATTGTAAAGCCAAACCCACGCACCGACCAGGCTCGAGCCCAGTCCACCCCAAGAAGTCACCCACAAAACGGGGCCAGCTATAGTGATATCGAATGAACAAGAATCGGGGACTAATCCCGAAATTATTAAGATGCTCGAGGAACTGAGAAAACGAAAAGAATCAGGAGAAAGGAAGATCGAAGCAAATGACCAAAATGTGAAAACTTATAACTCTAGGGTTGATCAGATCCCGGGGGCACCGCCGATATTGAAGGGCGTGGATTCCAAAAAGTTCATGCATAAGTCTTTCTCCCCGAGCGTGGCTCCAAAATTGATCCCCAAGAAGTTCCGCATGCCCGAAATTCCTAAATACAACGGAACGACCGACCCCAACGAACACGTCACCTCTTACTCATGTGCCATCAAAGGGAACGATCTAGAAGATGACGAGATCGAATCTGTATTATTGAAAAAATTTGGTGAAACCCTGTCAAAGGGAGCAATGATATGGTATCATAACTTACCGCCTAACTCTATCGATTCTTTCCCTATACTTGCAAATTTTTTCGTAAAAGCACATGCCGGAGCCATGAAGGTCTAGACCAGGAAGTCGGACCTTTTCAAGGTAAGGCAAAAAGATAACGAGATGCTAAGAGAGTTCGTATCTCGTTTCCAAAACGAACAAATGGATCTACCACCGGTCACGGACGATTGGGCTATACAAGCTTTCACTCAAGGACTGAACAAATGAAGCTTGATGGCTTCACAACAATTGAAGCAAAACTTAATAAAATACCCTGCTACTATATGGGCCGATGT